GAGACTCGTCACTAAAGACAATACTGTTCCATTCCTGATCCCAGAGTGACCGTTGTCTGCACCACTCAAGGCGATTACGTCGGTGTTCTCGAGTTAAAGGGAGGACCCAGTGTGGCCGGTATGAAAACAAGCCAAAACTTCTCATTCGTCGGTAAACACTTCGCATGCCAATGGGTCTTCCGTGTTTTGCAAATCATTCATTTGCAATGGTCCTGGTAGTGGAGAAACGGTCCCTTAAGGCCAATAATCTTAGGCGGCGATCTTCACGGTCTGTAGTTCTACGGCGGCGTCCAGTGCCCCTTGCTCTTTGCGTACGGCCTTCTCGAAGCCATGCCTGACAACGCCTAACCACAGTGTCTACACTTCTTTGCACTCTAACTGCAATTGCCCGAAAAGAAAGTCCAGCTTCCCGAAGTCCCACTATACGGCTCCTATCAAACTCACTGAGTTGACGAAATCGTACAGGTCTCCGTACTCTAGACATCGTAACCGATCGTAAAGGATGTCAAGAACCAAAATCCGCCAACGTTGATTCTTTACTGCGGCTGAAATATTCATTTTTAGAGCGTTAGTGAATTAAAAAAAAGCAGTATAAAAACCGGAATGTCCAACTGATAAGGCTGAAAATTTTTTCACTTGTTATTTACAGTAAGATAAATACATTCACCAACTTTTATTAAAATAAAACCATTTAAACTGGGTGTTCAGATTGATATGTCACTTAGTATATATAATTTTTTCTTTAATCTGGTCCTGCACTGTTGACTTTGAAATACGATTACATATTCCAAGCATTTTCCCAACATTTTTCACATCTTCGACGTCTGTTTTAACCTGCCTCCACTAAATATACGGAATTTATTTTTTTCTTGGTATCCATTCCCGAATGAAGTTTCGTGAAAAAACTTTATTTTTATAAATTTTCAAAGCGACCACTATTGGCGTACTATTTTTATTTGGAAAAATACTGTCACTAATCCCCTGTAAAGACTTTTGATTGTGGACAATACTTCGGTAAATCCAATTAAAATCCAAATTCTAGTTCATTCCAGTTCCAATTTGTAGATATTAAAAAAATGTTCTAATTTTTAAGACCCCCTTAAGATGCAACCCTGTGTATGATGTTTCATTTTTGATCACGACCTGTGAATCACCCTGTATATTGTCAGTTGACGATTCCACTTGCCTTTAAAACTTACTATTCAACGGACAAAAATTGAGCTAATACTGTTGTCAATATGACAACGGTGGATAAACTGGGAAAAACCACAGTAAACACAACTGAGTTCTCCCAGTCAAGAGTAAAGATTTTTATCTTAGTACGACATGACGCAGAGAACTCCAGTGCCCGCGAATGACGTTTCCAATGAAATTGCTAAAAGAATAACTCACGTATTTGCCTTCGTATCAGCACACTTCAGATTTCCTATTTTCAGCACTTCACAAAAATTATACATCGTCCACTTAAGTTTTTACTATAAAACCGAACTACCGGTAATCATAATCAGTTAAATATTGAAAATGTATGGTTTCATTGTGCTCGTTCTGGTATTCTTCCTGAACCAGCATCATGCTGCAACGACTGGAAGAAATATCAGTGAGGAAGATGAACTTATAACTGTAGTAACGGTACGTAGAGAACAGTGTCCAAAAGGAGACACCCAGTTTGTTATCGATTTAAGCTACAGAAAATAACTAAAAACGTTCATTTTGTAACATAACGGTTTACGTATCCATGATTTGAATAATATTTGGCCTAGTAAGAATTGCCAATCATCAATAACACTGGACAACAAATTTTAGTTTTTTAATTGTATCTTGTGGGAAAAGTGCACTTCTTTGTTAATTTTGGGGCGCTGAATCCAAAAATGACAATGAAATAAAAAAATTAGTTGCGGTTTAGAAAAAAACTTTTTATTTTTAAGGATATATTAAAAAAAGTAACAAGATTCATATACTTAAAAGAATCACTATATGCGCAGTCTTTTTGCTGTTCTTTTATGGATCGTTTCTGGAGCATCTCTACCAAGAGTCCAATAGTAGTCTGCAAGCATGGAAGGATTCCACTTTCCCTGGTACCTTTTTTCCATTGTTGAAATATCCTGATGAAAACGTTCGCCGTGCTCATCACCTACGGCTCCGCAATTGTCAGGAAAAAAGTCCAGGTGTGAGTGTAGGAAATGCATCTTAAGAGACATATTACAGCCCATCTTTTGATACGATGACAGCATATTTCTGACAAGGGTTTTATAGTTGTCAGCTTTTCTATTTCCCAAGAAACTAGTGACCACCAGACGGAAATCATTCCAAGCAGTTTTTTGCCTGTTAAAGTGTTTTCAAACTGTGTATCTTTCAAAATATTTCGAATCTGTGGCCCAACACAAATACCTTCTTTAAACTTTGCCTCACTTAGCCTTGGAAATTTCTGACGCAGGTATTGAAAAGCTGACCCATCTCTATCTAATGCCTTGACAAAGTTTTTCATTAGGCCCAACTTGATATGCAGTGGTGGTAATAAAATTTTTTTCGAATCTACTAATGGCATATGCTGTACATTTTTTTGACCTGGCTCTAGAAATTGACGAACAGGCCAGTTTTGTCTGGTGGAATGAAGTGCCTTTGCCCGACTGTCCCATTCACACAAAAAAACAGCAAAACTTTGTGTAGCCTAGCTGCAGCCCAAGTAAAAGTGCAACAACTTTCAAATCGCCACAAATATGCCATTGGTGCTCATCGTATTTTATGCATGTCAATAGGTACTTCATATTGTCATATGATTCTTTCATGTGAACTGCATACCCTACAGGAAGAGATGGTAAAATATTTCCAATATGCAATAACACTGCCTTTAAACTCAATGTTGAACTGTCTATAAACAATCTCCATTCTTCTGGGTTATAGTTTATATTTAAAGCCGCCAGTAAGCCGTTAATGTTACTGCAGAAAACCAAGTTATTCTCCATATTGAAAAATGGTTCTAAGTCTTTGTGGCGTTTACGAAAAACACATACCGAAACATCGTCTTCTAACAAGTTCCACTGCTGCAGTCTTGATCCAAGTAACTCTGCCTTACATTTTGGAAGTTCTAAATCTCTTACAAGATCATTTAATTCTGACTGTGTTATTTTGTGCGGTTGGTGGCATGACGTGCTCGGTATAAAATCAGGATCTCTTGACGTTGATGGCATATCTTCTTCCTGACGAATCACTCGATCGCCATGATCTGATTCGTTTTCTGATTCGCAAGTGTAGGATTCTGGGGGTTTTGGAATAGGATTTTCGTCACTGTGAGGCACAGGTCTCATCGCAGATGGTATGTTTGGGTAGTTAATAACCGATTTTTTTTTCTTGGACATACCTGTGGCTTGTCCAACACAAGGTAACATGCAAAAGTAACAATCATTAATATGATTTGTAGGCTCTCTCCAAACCATTGGGACAGCAAAGCGCATAGACCGTTTTTTGCCATTTAACCAGCTCCTCAGACTTGAAGCACATGTATTACAGCAGATGTGGGGTGCCCACTGTTTGTCTTGATCACCTAGTTTACAACCGAAATAAAGCTGATATGCCTTTGTTATTAGTGGAGTAATAGACCGTCTCTGATACGCAAAAGTCACATCACCACACACGTAACAAAACTGATCTGGATTGTTTACACACTTTCGAGACATCTTGCATGAACGCAGTCAGCCAACTGAGGAAAAAATGGCTAATATAAAACAATATAATGTACACGTATGTATAACGTAACACAATCATGCCGATTACATCATCTTTCCTTGCCGAATATAAAAATGTAGCATTCTTGTGAATTACAGTATATTAACACTGTCACAGCAGGAACACATATAATTACCGTATCTCTAAAACTTGAACTAATATTGAAAAAATAAGTTTCATTCCGGTTTTAGCACATTAAAAATAGTAATATTTTGTTGATTTTATTTAGGATATTTTTTGGCTGTTGATCAGTGTAATTAGTATTCTATTCTTAAGCAGTATTTAGTTCCTTAGATGCAAAAATCGCGGACGTACAAATTGTTTCTTCTAATTCCTAGTGGTAAGAAAAGTAAAAGGATGTTAAGCAAATAGTGGTGTTTACAGATATAGGGGTCCGGTTTGTGCGATTAAAACCGAAAACTTTATCCGATAAAATTTCAAACGTCTAAAAATACAGGGTGGCGCATCGAAAACGAAACAGATGCATTTACTGGCAGCTCAGTTTTTTTTTTGGAAAAACGCCCAGACTCGTCGATTTTGTTTTTGAGGGCGACACAAGTTTGGCAAAAAATCACGTTAACACGTGCAGCCCCCTGGGCGGGGGTGACACCAACCCTAAAATCTTAAATGGAAAGGGGCGTCGAGTGATACCTTATTTTAAAAGTCTTTTAATTCCCTTTATAATGATGTAAAATACATGAGCTTCAGTTCAGTAGTTTTGAAGATTTATTGATTTAAAGCTTAAAGTAGACTTTAATAGTACATCAGATTAGTTTGTGTTACTTTCAGAGAGAGAAATTTGACTAAAAGAATTTACTTAATAAGTAAATGCTTTTCTTCACTATGCCTATGGTTTTATCATTTTGTTGTTGAACATAGCTATTGGAGCGTTTTTTGTGGCAAAAAAGTTATTTCTTGAAGAAAGATAAGGAAATATCTCGTACTTATTTTAAATAGGAATTTAGTACATAGTTTGCAATTGATTTGACCAAAATTTGAAGAAGCTAACAAACATTACAAAAAGAATATACTCTTATTTTTCCATTTTTTATTATATAAGCATTTCTGCTGTTATTCAAAAATTGGCAGCTAACCCCGTATGAGACCGTACCGTCAGGTCCAGGTCCATGTTGATCTTCCAGAAGGCCGGGAACCAAACATGTTTTATTAAATTTTTTGCGACAACAGATCTTCCCCAAATTTTAATCAACTCCAAATTAAAACATACGATTGGTTGATAATTTAAAATATTCAAAAACATCGACATTTCTGAATAGGTTTACAGACATGGAGATCGAGCCCCAATAAAGCCAATTCCAACAAGTGAGTACTGCGATCCATCTTACTGGCCAATGGGATTCGGACATTTGACAAAGGTAAGTCAGTTCATGCTTCGCACGTTTTGAGAAGAATGATCATGAACCCTTCAAGGCGGCTCCGACGCAGTGAGGTTCAAGCCATTTGCAAGGGTTCAGCTGCTTCAAAACTGACATTCCATTTTTCAATATTTTTGAATGAAATTCATACAGCCCAGCGTGCTATTAGAGCACTTTTTTGTTTTTGCACAAGTTTTATGATGGTGACTTGTTCGATCTGCAAAATCTCGTCGTCACTTTTTTTAAGTTTCCCTAAAAATGTTAGCTTAGCAACCTCCAAATCAATGTAGTTAATATCAGGTTTTTGATTGAATGCGCCATAAAACTATTCTATACCTACTGATCTCAGAAGTGCTTCAGCTGCTCAATACAAAGGGGTTTTAAGATTTCTTAAAGCTACGTTAATAAATTAACACATTGGCCGCTCTGTATCAGTATTTTTAATTAACATAATTGATCTGCCGACTTATTCGTTCAATACTATTCCAGTTTGGTATAGAAAGACAGTACGATCTAGGAAAGTGGTTAAGGAAACGCTACGACTTCTTACTGTCCCCAACTTATAAAGCAAGCGAGATATACGTGAGATCTACAGATGAAGACAGGGTTTTAATGTCAGCGTACTCAAATCTTGCAGGATTGTACCCACCACAGGTAAATAAATACTCAGACAATTTTGTATGTAAGCACTTTGTTCCAAATAGGTAGCTTGCAATTATCAGCAATTCTTTGGATCAATTTTTTACAAGAGGAATCATTATTAATTTAATCAATAATGCATTCATTTTAATTGAATATAAAAACTAAGAATAACTTCTCTGGGAAATTAAAAAAAATATGTTGTCTCCGAACCTTGAGTCCAGGTATATATACTAAGTGACATATAAATCCGAACACCCAGTTTAAATGGTTTTATTTTAATAAAATTTTGTATAAGTACTTAATGAAGCATAATAAGTAAATGATAAAAATTTCAAAATGATTGCACTGCTTTAAAGCCCTTTGACCTTTAATAATGTGTGGATGCACCCTGATGTGCTACGCATTCTCCAACGCGCCTAGGCATGCTTCTGATCAGGTGGTCAATGTCCTCCTGTGGTATCTCATTCCAGGCGACCACCAACTCCTCTCGAAGTGCTTCTAGAGTCTGAGGAGGACGTTGCAAATTGAGCAATCTCCTACCCATCATATCCCACACGTGCTCAATTGGGGATAAGTCGGGAGATCTTGGTGGCCATGCTAACAATGTGACATCATTATGTTGAATGAAGTCTATTGTGACTCTTGCAACATGTGGTCAGGCATTATCTTGTTGGAAAGTTAGATCTGCCAGGGTGTCAAGATTGGGTTAAAGATGGGGTTCTAGAACTTCGTGGATATGACGCTGCGCGTTCATGTTACCTCTGATGAAGATTAAAGGTGGCCTGGAACCATAAGCTATAGCACCCCAAACCATAACTCCAACAGTGTGATGAACATGTCTTTCAACAAAAACCTGTGGATTCCTCCTTTCACCACGTCGCCTTCTAACCCTGGCACGACCATCGTGCATGCCTAAACAAAATCGAGACTCGTCACTAAAGACAATACTGTTCCACTCCTGATCCCAGAGTGACCGTTGTCTGCTCCACTCAAGGCCGTCGGTGTTCTCGAGTTAAAGGGAGAACCCAGTGTGGCCGGTATGAAAACAAGCCAAAACTTCTCATTCGTCGGTAACCACTTCGCATGCCAATAGGTTTTCCGTGTTCTGCAAACCATTCATTTGCAATGGACCTGGTAGTGGAGAAACGGTCCCTTAAGGCCAATGATCTTAGGCGGTGATCTTCACGGTCTGTTGTTCTACGGCGGCGTCCAGTGCCCCTTGCTCTTTGCGTACGGCCTTCTCGAAGCCATGCCTGACAACACCTAACCACAGCGTCTACACTTCTTTGCACACTAACTGCAATTGCCCGAAAAGAAAGTCCAGCTTCCCGAAGTCCCACTATACGGCCCCTATCAAAGTCACTAGGTTGACGAAATCGTACAGGTCTCCGTACTCTAGGCATCGTAACCGATCGTAAAGGATGTCAAGAACCAAAATCCGCCAACGTTGATTCTTTACTGCGGCTGAAATATTCATTTTTAGAGCGTTAGTGAATTAAAAAAAAGCAGTATAAACTTGTTATTTACAGTAAGATAAATACATTCACCAACATTTATTAAAATAAAACCATTTAAACTGGGTGTTCGGATTTATATGTCACTTAGTATATATATATGTCTATTATGAAGTCCTTCATTTAGATAAATACTATTGAAATTGAATATAAAATGACCCTTCGAATGTCATACAGTATGTTATCACCGCGATTACACAGCCGGTCATGAGAGGTAGTATAAATGGCAACACTGCCTTGATGATATTGCTTAATGAAGATATTCGACCTGCAACTTGTTCCCTATTTTCCGATTTGCCAAACTGCAGAAATCAGACACCATTTGGGCCTGTAACACCATTGATTAACAAATCTTCATCAGGTATGATACTTAGCGGGTCCTGTCATTTACACTCCCTATGATGCCTGAGCTGTGTAACACTCATTGTTTCCTTATACAGGGTGGCGCATCGAAAACGAAACAGACTCATTTACTGGCAGCTCAGTTTTTTTGTTTGGAAAAACGCTCAAATTCCTATTTAAAATAAGTACGAGATATTTCCTTATCTTTCTTCAAGAAATAACTTTTTTGCCACAAAAAAACGCTCCAATAGCTATTTTCAACAACAAAATGATAAACAAACCATGGGCGTAGTGAAGAAAAGCATTTACTTATTAAGTAAATTCTTTTAGTCAAATTTCTTCTGAAATTAGTACAAACTAATCCTACCTATTAAAGTCTACTTTTAAGCTTCAAATCAATAAATCTTCAAAACTACTAAACTGAAGCTCATGTATTTTACATCATTATAAAGGAAATTGAAAGACCTTTAAAATATGGTATCACTCGACCCCCCTTTCCATTTAAGATTTTGGGGGTGGTGTCACCCCCGCTTAGGGGGCTGCACATGCTCACGTGATTTTTTGCCAAACTTGTGTCCCTCTCAAAAACAAAATCGACGGGTCTGAGCGTTTTTCCAAAAAAAAAACTGACCTGCCAGTAAATGCGTCTGTTTCGTTTTCGATGCGCCACCCTGTATGTATGGCTATTGCCTTCTCTTTCAAGGGAACTATTATCATTGCGTTAATGGGTAGTAAGTATGGGTAGTGTAGTACATCTAGAGTAGAAGGACGTTTATTTTGCGAATAACTTATCATATGATTTAGCTGAATATTCTTAAGTAGATCGATAAAAATTAATCTAATCGCTCAACAGAAACTTTGAATAGTAAATCTGGCAACCGCGCTTCTAGAATTACTACGTCCGAAGTAAGTTATTGAAAAAAATATCGAAACTCGGCACGTCACAACGGAGGCAGATACTTTTTCAAGATAGTGAAGCTTTAAATGTCGATGATCAGATTACGGAATGATTCGTAAGACATTTCAGTACCACATGTACACAAAAAACTAATTGATAAATCGAACTAAAAAATGAAAAATAAATAATAGTTTAAAAAAGCAAAAAGTACGTAAACTACTATTTATTTGTTATACGTGTTTAGGCGGCTAACTTGTTTCTCGGAACGGCTGACTTGTGGCGAATATAATCGTTTACTATAGTCAACGCCAAACAAAGTGGCGTGCACGTCATCAAGGTGGGTGTGTTGAAAAATTTACATTGTTGCCAAACTTTTTGTAAAATAATAAAATTTATTATTTACATATCTAGGTTTATAAGCAATATTAACCTCAAATGAGAACAAAAATAATAGTATAATAAAATTATAGATCTGTACTTGCATAATCATTAAGTATGACAATTATTGATCAGATGACACTATGAAACTACCATATTTAATTGATAGCTTAAAGGTACTGAATAAAAATCCAAATGGGGTCCTCCAAATTTTATGCATGGTATTTATTTTACAGAATTCATACAGAAAAATGCATTCTAAAATTAGGTAAGCTACTGGTGTAAGCTTTTTCTGTACAATAAAGTTAGTCGGAGTTTCTTTCTTCAGGGCTGTCTGAATCTGAATCTTCATCACTCTCAAAGTTGATTATTAAAGGTTCGATGTCTGGTCGATCAAAAATTCGTTCTCTTTCATACCATTTAAAAATTTCTTGCTCAGTATGTCGAACACTATTTTTCCACATGTCTGGGGTAACCGTTTGTAGAGCCTCGTTCCACATATCCAAACAGTCTTTTTCACTGTTACCATCTCTACCAATATGTCTGTTATAGTAACCTTTTGCTATGCCCCAAATTAACTCAATAGGGTTAAATATACAATGGTAAGGAGGCAGACGAAGAACTTAGTGCCCATGTTGTTCCGCCAATTCATCAATCACGTATATTTTAGGTGGTTTGTTTCTAAAAAAGCAGTTATTTTAAGAATAGGAATAAACAAAAGAAATATAAACTGTCGACCAAAATATATATAATTAAGAAGCATTATGTACCGAGCAACAATACTCAATAGCTCTGTTTTAAACATTGTGTTTAAAAATGGTATGTTTTGATTTGTCAACCAGTCTTGGATATTTTTTTTGTCCATGCATTGTTGGGCACTTTGTTCAATATCATGCTGTGATAAGGGGCGTTATCCAGTATAATCATAGATGGACTCTCCAATTTTTCTAATAACTGATGTTGAAACCATTTCAAAAAATTGTCCTGGTTCATCTCTCCATGGTAATCGCTCAATTTTGTTTTCGAAGAAAATATCGCTTCACTACCCTCAATAAACCCATTTTCATTTCCAGCATGTAATATAATGTATCTAAAATATATTAGTTTTAAATTTTATAGTGCAAATTGTGTAAAAGTACATACCTTTTACCATCTGTTTTAATAGCTTTCACGCTTTTTTGGTTTCCATTTTGCCAAGAGCGACCTATGGTCCCATTTTGAAATATCCAAGTTTCATCGAGGAAGACAAACTGGTATAAGGCCTCAACCTTGGCTTGATTGTATTGCCTTAGAAATTCCACCCTTTTCAAAGCTATACTTGGTAGTTCCATGAGCCCTCGTCGCGGATTGTCCTTAAGCCACTTAAATCCAAGATCTCTAAGCAACCGCCTTAAAGACGTGGCACTACCATCAAATAATGCCCTATCTCTTAATCGAGACCATAAAGTTTGTATCGTAAGTTGTTCTTCTGAAACCATGTGTAATATGACATTATAATTTAGTTAACAAATTAATGCAAATTTCTGATAAGTTATTATAATAAGATCTTACTTTTGTGATACATATTATAGATCACTTCTCGAATGGCACTTGTATCCAATGTCGCTGTGTTGGTTACACGTTTAATATAACTCCGCTTTTTCTTGGGCGATTCTAAATTTGCATCACTTTTCACACCCTCGGAAATACGACTAACTGTCCTTAAACTAATTTTTAAAGCAGCAGCAACACGCTACAAAAAATGAAATAAAATTTCACTATTATTAATATACATTACATATAATTATTAGTAACCTACCTCTTGAACAGCATTTAAAGGCAACAAAGGCCCGTTGTTGTCCCTTTCTTGCTCAAAGTAGTGCATTAACGAGGCCACGAGTTCCTTACACCGACTATTTAACTGTTTGGGCATCTTTATATACCAAAATTGCCTTTATCTACTCGTAAAATGCAAAATTTGGTTTTGAAACAAACAGTTGTTGATTTACAGTATGCGGGGCCAAAGGATTTATAAAGATTTGAAATGCCACAAATTGATTCAGTGTCAAAATTAATACAAATGTCAGTTCCCAGTTTAAATAAGTTTCAAGGTGACAATGTGTCAACGCTGCGAAATCGGTTTAGTGCGTTTACATGTCGATAAGTGATTGGAGCGTTTGCAAAACATTTTATTTCGCATAATGCGTCTAAATTTATCAGAAAGCAACTTATGTGATATTTTAATAACAATGTTTATATGACTATTAACCATAATAAGAGAGTAATGACCATTTTACAATTTATATATCACATTAATATGAAACTGCAATAGAGCAATTGTTTGTGATAGAAACCTAGGCATTAGGTCGGGGAATTTTTATCGTGATGACGTGCACGCCACTTTGTTTCGCGTTGACTATAGCTGAAGTACGGAGTAAATCTTCTTGACGGCATTTTTTTTTGCAGGGCTCACAAGTATGGAACGACCGCATCTTCTGGCAGCCGATCCCAGTCCATACGATACCAAGAAACATAGACGACGTAATAGTGGAAAAGAGGTCATGTCCAAAGTACGATACTCTATTGAATGCCACAATCAAATCGGACTACTTCAGCAGGATTAACGACAAATATGCCGACCTGTATGAAACTATATCTAATTGGACAGGTATCGACGTGAGCGATGTTGAAGATATCAAGTTGATCAGATCGACGCTGTATGCTATCAAAAGCTACAATGCCACTTATCTGCCGGAATGGGAAAAAGATATGAACTGGCACTTGATAGATAATCTTGCCGGTCTAGCATACCTTAGGTGAGTACGAGGGAGGTCTTTTAAGTTTTGCGTATAGAAACATAGTAGGCCGCGCGGATCGAACGTCAGTACTGAATCTTAACCTCACTCTTTAGTAAACTTAAATTCAAAGTTTCACAACGATACGTGCGGTGTTCTCGCTACAGTGAATTTTCAAGTGTCACCAAGTCATTAGACAAATAGAACTCAACCGAGAACATTTTCGCGCCATAACACTGGACAACAAATTTTGGTTTAATTGTATCTTGCGGGAAAAGTGCACTTCTTTGTTAATTTTGGGGCGCTGAATCCAAAAATGACAATGAAATAAAAAAATTAGTTGCGGTTTGGAAAAAAAACTTTTTATTTTTAAGGATATATTAAAAAAAGTAACAAGATTCATATACTTATAAGAATCACTATATGCGCTGTCTTTTTGCTGTTCTTTTGTGGATCGTTTCTGGAGCATCTCTACCAAGAGTCCAACAGTAGTCTGCAAGCATGGAAGTATTCCACTTTCCCTGGTCCTTTTTTCCATTGTTGAAATATCCTGATGAAAACGTTCGCCGTGCTCATCACTTACGGCTCCGCAATTGTCAGGAAAAAAGTCCAGGTGTAAGTGTAGGAAATGTATCTTAAGAGACATATTACAGCCCATCTTTTGATACGATGACAGCATATTTTTGACAAGGGTTTTATAGTTGTCAGCTTTTCTATTTCCCAAGAAATTAGTGACCACCAGACGGAAATCATTCCAAGCAGTTTTTTCAATACCTGTTAAAGTGTTTTCAAACTGTGTATCTTTCAAAATATTTCGAATCTGTGGCCCAACAAAAATACCTTCTTTAACCTTTGCCTCACTTAGTCTTGGAAATTTCTGACGCAGGTATTGAAAAGCTGACCCATCTCTATCTAATGCCTTGACAAAGTTTTTCATTAGGCCCAACTTGATATGCAGTGGTGGTAATCATTTTTTTTTCGAATCTACTAATGGCATATGCTGTACATTTTTTTGACCTGGCACTAGGAATTGACGAACAGGCCAGTTTTGCCTGGTGTAATGAAGTGCCTTTGCCCGACTGTCCCATTCACACAAAAAACAGCGAAACTTTGTGTAGCCTAGCTGCAGCCCAAGTAAAAGTGCAACAACTTTCAAATCGCCACAAATATGCCATTGTTGCTCATCGTATTTTATGCATGTCAATAGGTACTTCATATTGTCATATGATTCTTTCATGTGAACTGCATACCCTACAGGTAGAGATGGTAAAATATTTCCAATATGCAATAACACTGCCTTTAAACTCAATGTTGAACTATCTATAAACAATCTCCATTCTTCTGGGTTATAGTTTATATTTAAAGCCGCCAGTAAGCCGTTAATGTTACTGCAGAAAACCAAGTTATTCTCCATATCGAAAAATGGTTCTAAGTCTTTGTGGCGTTTACGAAAAACACATACGAAACATCGTCTTCTAACAAGTTCCACTGCTGCAGTCTTGATCCAAGTAACTCTGCCTTACATTTTGGAAGTTCTAAATCTCTTACAAGATCATTTAATTCTGACTGTGTTATTTTGTGCGGTTGGTGGCATGACGTGCTCGGTATAAAATCAGGATCTCTTGACGTTGATGGCATATCTTCTTCCTGACGAATCACTCGATCGTCATGATCTGATTCGTTTTCTGATTCGCAAGTGTAGGATTCTGGGGGTTTTGGAATAGGATTTTCGTCACTGTGAGGCACAGGTCTCATCGCAAATGGTATGTTTGGGTAGTTAATAACCGATTTTTTTTTCTTGGACATACCTGTGGCTTGTCCAATACAAGGTACCATGCAAAAGTAACAATCATTAATATGATTTGTAGGCTCTCTCCAAACCATTGGGACAGCAAAGCGCATAGACCGTTTTTTGCCATTTAACCAGCACCTCAGACTTGAAGCACATGTGTTACAGCAGATGTGGGGTGCCCACTATTTGTCTTGATCACCTAGTTTACAACCGAAATAAAGCTGATATGCCTTTGTTATTAGTGGAGTGTTAGACCGTCTCTGAGACGCAAAAGTCACATCACCACACACGTAACAAAACTGATCTGGATTGTTTACACACTTTCGAGACATCTTGCATGAACGCTGTCAGCCAACTGAGGAAAAAATGGCTAATATAAAACAATATAATGTACACGTATGTATAACGTAACACAAGCATGCCGATTACATCATCTTTCCTTGCCGAATATAAAAATGTAGCACGTGCATTCTTGTGAATTACAGTATATTCACACTGTCACAGCAGGAACACATATAATTACCGTATCTCTAAAACTTGAACTAATATTGAAAAAATAAGTTTCATTCCGGTTTTAGCACATTAAAAATAGTAATATTTTGCTGATTTTATTTAGGATATTTTTTGGCTGTTGATCAGTGTTATTAATAAAGACAGTCCACTATTTGGGTGTTCCAAGGTGAAGAAAAGCCAACAAAAGTCATCCGTTCTCGAAGTGTTTCGAAAAAGATCTCGATATTTGTGTCAAAAGCGGGTCATATTGCAACAATTCTTCTTAACGAGCAAAGAACTGTTACTTCGGATTGGAATACCACCATTTGTTTGCCAAAAGCCACCACCGAGCTTCGAAAAATCAACCCCGAAAAAAGAATCATCCTCCACTAAGACAATGCAAGCTCGCACACAGCCCAAAAAACAAGGCAGTATTTAACGGAAGAAAACGTCGCTTTTTCAGGATGGAGAGGCTGTACATGATATTGTTGTGGATTTTCAGCCATCCAGAATCTGCAATTTTGCTTATTTGCGTACCCATTGAGGTGAAAATGAGCCTCATCAGATAAGAGCACTTTGGGATGGTCTACGACATTCAGCTGAACCAGTTTCCTCAATACGATCAACAATTAAACGAATTCCAGGCTCTGCATGGCGTCCATGATAGCCAAGACTGGTGCGAAGTATTTTTTATACAAGGTTGTCCAATAGGGACGCAGGAAAGTAAAAGTCAATTTGACATAGACGCCATCTTTGTTTTCTGACACCGACATGTCATTTTGTTAGTTGAATGTTTACCATTGATCGCTATGGAGTCGTATTCGATTGAAGACCGCATTAAAGTTATTCAAGAGCACTACAAAAATGGTGTAAAAATAAAAAACACGTTTCGCGCGCTTCGTGAACATTTCGGTCGCAACAACCGCCCAAACGAAACAACCATCGGTCGTCTGGTGCGTAAATTCGAGGCAACAGGTTCTGTGGCAAATCTGCCGGGCTCTGGCCGGCCAAGGCGCGTTCGCACACCGGAAAATATTGCTGTTGTGAAGGAGAGTGTGAGAGACGATCCGAAACAATCAACAACGCGTCGATCCCAAGAATTGGGCATTTCGAGAACCAGTTTGCTCCGCATTCTCCACAAGGATTTGAATGTACACGCCTACAAGATCCAATTGACGCAAGAGCTGCGTCGGGCCGACCATTTTTCGCGCCGAACGTTCTCAGATTGGCTCCTTGAACACCGCCAAATTGATGCCAATTTTTCATCAAAAATCATGTTCAGCGACGAAGCGCATTTCACTTTGAATGGGACGGTAAACAAGCAAAACTGCCGCATCTGGGCGAACGGAAATCTCTGTAAGTATCAAGAGCAGCCGATGCATCCTCAAAAAGTGACTGTGTGGTGTGCATTGTGGTCGAAAGGCATCATCGGACCTTACTTTTTCGAAAATGCGGCCGGGGACGCCGTTACCGTCAATTCTGAGCGATATCACGTGATGATAGAGGACTATTTTTTGCCGCAACTTGAAGGAATGGATATGGACGATGTTTATTTCCAACAAGACGGTGCAACATGCCACACAACCAACGTCAATATCCATCGATCGCAGTCCTTCTTCGGTGATCGCGTGATTTCGCGCAGAGGAAATGTGCCATGGCCACCAAGATCGTGCGATTTGACTCCCTTGGACTTCTTTTTACGGGGATATTTGAAAAGCAAAGTATACGTCAACAAACCAGCCACCCTCCAAGAACTCAAAAACAACATCATTGCCGAGATAAATGCCATAGAACCGACCATGTTGCAAAATGTCATTGAAAGTTTCGACCATCGCGTGGACGTCTGTAAATCCAGTCGTGGTGAACATTTGAGCGAATTATTTTTCATACATAAATGGTATAAATAAACCTTCAAAATAAAGTACCCAACTTGATTTGAATATCAATCTTTCTTGTTTTAATGTGCGTTTACTTTCCTGCATCCGTTTTGGACAACCCCATATTGCGACACATAAACTTATAAGCAAAAAAATGCTGATTCAGGTAACCTTACACCTTCAACTTTTGCAGATACACATCAACCCCTGCAATGAAACGTCTGAAGTCCGGTCCATTCTTCCATTACTTGCTCAACCACCTGGACCTCGCTACCTCAACAAACCAAGCGTCTCCAGCTCCGAAGATGCTGATGATTTCGGCTCACGACACATCCTTGTCCGGTATATTGAACTCGATGGGCGTTTTCGACGGATACCCTCCAGATTTCGCGGCAACTGTTATATGGGAGTTGAAAAAAAGACGAAACGGAGAACGCTATATTAATCTTTATTTCAAGTCAGAGAAAGGGTTAGAGAAGCTGAGGATTATAGGGTGTGAGATCGATTGTAATTATGGGACGTTTAAAGACATCATGGAGGATGTTGCAATTAGTATAGGAAGCTGGGCGAAAGAATGTAATAGACTGTCGGAAAAGTTCGTCTGAATGTTAAGAATGCGTAGGGGTATTCTGGCTTATAACCGCTAACTATCTAAAACTGTAATGACTCATCGATGTTCACGTGAACATCACTTAACTACCAGTAGTCGGCTGTTCATAGGCGGGGTATGAATGTTTAACATGGGTGAACTAGATTTGTCACATGCTTAATAAAGAGTGGTTTGAAACATATTGTAAGTCAAAAATTTGGGAATTACCTTTATTCATCGTCGCTTCCACTTACATCTGACAGTAATAAACTGTCGCTATCGCTTTCCTCGTTGAAATTGACTATAACTGGCTCTATGATGGTGTCGATGTGGTGGTCAAGCTGCCACATTTTTGTTTCTTCCTTCACAACATGACGGATAGCATTCTGCCAAGCTTCGGGCGTTACTAGCTGTATGGTAAGTCTCAAGTAAAACCTTAACGTCTGGTAATTTGAAGGTTGTGTTATGGCGCGCAATATAACCCTTCACTTGAGCCCAGATGAGCTCTATTGGGTTCAGTTCACAGTGGTAGGGCGGTAACCGCAGCACAGTGACACCACATTGACGGGCCATCTCATCAGTCACTTAACTAATGTTCGCAGGTTTGTGCTGTTTAATTTTTTCATACAATTCCGCTTTCACACATGAATTGTCAAACGGGATTCCTTTTTCGCGCAACCATTGCTGCATGTCACTTTTTCGAGATCCCATAGTCGGTACACGTACGGCTCGACGACTATGGTAGGAAGCATTATCCATGACGATCACAGAGTTGGGCTCAACTCGCTGAAGCACCCCTTGAAACCAGCTCTCGAAGCAGCTGGCATTCATTTCGTCATGGTAATCACCTCCTTTCTTAGAGACGAAAATCAAGTCGCACTCTTCTAAAAAGCCACTATCACTACCAATATGAGTTACGATCAATCTTTGACCTTTCCCTGACGGTCCACGAAGACCTGTTGACAAATCTTCAATGCTTGCTTGTCGGTTACTCACTACGTTTTTGTCTATCCAGGTTTTTTTAACTGTGTCACCTGCATTTACCCATGTCTCCTCCAAATAATAGATTTTTCTGCTTGGTCGCCTATATTCAATCATTTCGCGTAGGTATTTTCGATGCCAGGCGACTATTTCAGGTCTCTCTATCAATACTGACTTCCGATTACGCGTTTCGTAACGAAAATTAATTTCGTGCAGGGATTTCCTCATTACCTCGACGCTCATTTGGGGTATAATTTCATTTTCTTTAATCGCTGCATGTACAGCCTTGAGGGTTGGTATCTCATTCCTAAAGAAGAATGAATGTACGGTTCGCCTTAACGCCATTTTGCTATCGTCATCCAATTTAACGGCCTTTCGTCCCTTCAAATTAAACTTTGGATCAGTAGTAGCTCCAGTTTTCTTCTTTTCATGCACCACCCTGCGAATGGTCCACTCTGGAACGCCTGTCATACTTTCACAACGCGCGGGTGCATCTCCCTGCGACATAGTTCTGTTCAGATAATTGAACACGTTGAGCACGATTTCTTTCGCGTCCCTCTTCAGTGCTTTACGAAGCCGTCTACTTGTTCCCTGGCTTTCAGTACTTCGACTCGTGCCATTTGTACTCTCCATGGTTAAGTATAACCAAAACAGTAACCACAGAAACCACAACAATAACAATCACACAACAATTCTTATAAAAACACACAATATGCGATCGCTCAACGAAACACGTTCCAATGCGTTGCCGACGCCTATGAGTCTGCCGGTCGAGGCGCGTCTTTGATTTCATTGGTTCTACCGGCGGAGAACAATCAGCCATTATTTCCATCTCTGGCTGTGCTGTTGACCACCGCAAAGCCACAGAAAGGACATATGTCGTACGCTATACGGCTGTACTGGAAGGAAGCCGGGATCGAGCTCTGATCACGTGTTGATCACGCGTATGAGTCATTACAGTTTTAAATAGTTGTAGTATAGACGTCTGTACTGTGTATCATTAAAACGGTTGTCACGTCAAGTAGCTGGAATACAAGGTATTCACAAAGCTTCAGCAATGACATTCTATTATTTATGCATTAATAGACAGTCTGAACTCATGTTTATCACATACTTTGCTTTTCGTGTGTCTGTCTCCTAAACTAGACTGAACTAAATTTATATCCCTCCAAATGAGGCTTAGGTTAGCTCAATATTAATAGCTTCAATCTATACATTCAAGTTGCTTCAGTGAAAAAATACATACGAATATGTAAATTGCAAGGATCTACCCCTACTAATTCTCATACCAATTGTCTTATCGAATAACAGCCCCTGATAGGGTGGGGTAAACAGTATTATATATCATAGCTTTTACATGTTATGAATAGGTACATTCTGTGAATTTATCATCGCACTATAATTTAAATAATGTGACTATGTAGTTAATAAATGAATATTTACACTAAATATTTATGTAATATGGAAATATAGTCTTAAATGTTTAGTCACTGATTCTGTATTTTCTTCTGATGTAACAACGCGCACTGCACACCGCAGCTGACAAACTGGAAAACCTAGCCAAACCCCCAAAAGCAGATGCACAATAAATTTCTGGTCGAAACAGTTTTGATGGGGACGTGAATCCATAGAAAAAGATCCCAGAAGTTGGAATGACTTGGATCATACTAGGACTGTGTTGTCCTCAGAGAACTTTCAAAAAATAAGTTTATTTTCAAGATTTACAGCGAGGAACATTTTCAAATATATATAATATATATATATATATATATATATATATATATATATATATATAAATATAATTTCGGGTTTTAGGTCGGTCTTAGATCCTTTTATAGAATGGGCTGGACATCAGCAAATTTACAGTGCCGCATTCATGAGATATTTGCAAGGAACGCGAAAGAGCTGGAGGAACCTCCGTTGGACAACTCTTCAGAAGAGTCTTATGCCTGAACGTCATTTCTCGCATCGACAGCAATTTTATCTACGTAAAAAATTCCTCATCACAGCCTTATGTGCAACCAATAATAACATTGAAAAAAGTATATTTGAACATTCGATACTATAAGTATACTAAGTGACATATAAGTCCGAACACCTAGTTTAAATGGTTTTATTTTAATAAAATTTTGTATAAGTACTTAATGAAGCATAATAAGTAAATGATAAAAATTTCAAAGTGATTGCACTGCTTTAAAGCCCTTTGACCTTTAATAATGTGTGGATGCACCCTGATGTGCTACGCATTCTCCAACGCGCCTAGGCATGCTTCTGATCAGGTGGTCAATGTCCTCCTGTGGTATCTCATTCCAGGCAACCACCAACTCCTCTCGAAGTGCTTCTAGAGTCTGAGGAGGACGTTGCATATTGAGCAATCTCCTACCCATCATATCCCACACGTGCTCAATTGGGGATAAGTCGGGAGATCTTGGTGGCCATGGTAACAATGTGACATCATTATGTTGAAAGAAGTCTATTGTGACTCTTGCAACATGTGGTCGGGCATTACCTTGTTGGAAAGTTGGATCTGCCAGGGTGTCAAGATAGGGTAAAAGATGGGGTTCTAGAACTTCGTGGATATAACGCTGCTTCATGTTACCTCTGATGAAGATTAAAGGTGATCTGGAACCATAAGCTATAGCACCCCAAATCATAACTCCAACAGTGTGATGAACATGTCTTTTAACAAAAAACTGTGGATTCCTCCTTTCACCACGTCGCCTCCTAACCCCGGCACGACCATCGTGCATGCCTAAACAAAATCGAGACTCGTCACTAAAGACAATACTGTTCCATTCCTGATCCCAGAGTGACCGTTGTCTGCACCACTCAAGGCGATTACGTCGGTGTTCTCGAGTTAAAGGGAGGACCCAGTGTGGCCGGTATGAAAACAAGCCAAAACTTCTCATTCGTCGGTAAACACTTCGCATGCCAATAGGTCTTCCGTGTTCTGCAAACCATTCATTTGCAATGGACCTATGGACCTGGTAGTGGAGAAACGGTCCCTTAAGGCCAATAATCTTAGGCGGCGATCTTCACGGTCTGTTGTTCTACGGCGGCGTCCAGTGCCGCTTGCTCTTTGCGTACGGCCTTCTCGAAGCCATGCCTGACAACACCTAACCACAGTGTCTACACTTCTTTGCACTCTAACTGCAATTGCCCGAAAAGAAAGTCCCACTATACGGCCCCTATCAAACTCACTAAGTTGACGAAATCGTACAGGTCTCCGTACTCTAGGCATCGTAACCGATCGTAAAGGATGTCGAGAACCGAAAAAAGAAAAGTAGTATAAAAACCGGAATGTCCAACTGATAAGGCTGAAAATTTTTTCACTTGTTATTTACAGTAAGATAAATACATTCACCAACTTTTATTAAAATAAAACCATTTAAACTGGGTGTTCGGATTTATATGTCACTTAGTATACATATATAGCTATGAGATTGTGACAAAGGGTGAATTGCAAGTCCGATTGTTCGATAAATTGACTAAACATCGAGATCAAACATTTAAGAATAAATAGCTAATATAGTGAATAACTGATGTATTGATCATGAGATAAGTTTGCGGTGTGTTTATGTTCATTGCAGTTACAAAATTCAAATTATTTTGTAACTTCCTGATGATCATATCTATATACGATACATATAAAATGTAAGCTTATTTGACTGGAGTGCCAGTGTAAAAAAACGATGATAGGGTTTGTCGTGTTGGGTGTACTTTTGTTCTTTACCAGCGACGTTGACGCTGCAGCTAGACGGACAGATGATGTCGGTGCAGAAGAACTTATAACAGTTGTAACGGTAATGTACGATTATTGTGTTACTGATGCAGTTAGGCATTTTTGTCTTTGTAAGGTTTCTATTTACAAATTACAAGTCGATTAAACAAAAATAAAAATATTTGAGCGTTTTTAGAGTGTCATATATTTCAGGTGGGATGGTTAGTCCTACAGTATATTCAGATAACAGATAGACCGGATGTAAACAAAAGGTTCGGGTGATTTTCACGCTAATGCCGCCGTCTCGACGTAAAACAGGAGCCCTCATTGGTCAATTCGCAATTAAATGCCTATGCCGAGCGGCAGAGCAGTCGTATCAAGGCAGAGTCACATTCAGGTTCAGACGTGTTACGTATGTCGTGTGCATCATTGCAATTTGATATTTCTTTGGACGTTTTCGTTTGTTATCTTATTAAGTTGTTGAGCTTGTCGTTGTTATTGTTATACCTTGTTATTGTTATCAACTGCTTGCGCAAAATGCCCAGTAGTACAGATACTGCCGATGAAGTTGTAAACTCCTGTAGTCCACCTAGGAAACGCTCTAAAAAAAGACACCTGAGTGCAGAAATGAAAGAGGTCATTTTGAATATATATAAGATCGAGCGCGAGGAGAACGAGGCATCAACCATCAAAGAAATTGTTGTGAAGGTTTCTCACAAAGTTGGGGTGTGTCGCGCATCAGTGTTTAATGTGTTAAGACAAAACAAAAAAAATCACACCTTTTCTGAGCCAATGACCAGTAAACATCGCAAAAGTATTGTTAAATCATTGGATGAAGCTGATAAGCATGCGATTAGGAGGAAAGTGCATGAATTCTTCTTTAGGAATGAAATACCTACTATAGATAAAGTAGTGCAGGAGGTAAATGGAGATACAACGTTGCCAAATTTCAAACGATCAACTTTCCATGCGTTACTGAAGCATTTAAATTTCAAATGGAAAAAACGGGGTCGTAATAGTTTACTACTGGATAGAGAAGAAATTGTGCTATGGAGGAGGGATTATTTAACAAAAATTGGGAAATATAGAAATCAAAACAGGAAGATTTATTACCTTGATGAAACGTGGGTAAACGCAGGACACACTACAAGTAAAGTATGGGTTGACGATTCTGTAACTTCATCCAGGAGGGCCTTTCTAGATGGACTGTCCACCAGATTAAAAAATCCAGCAGGTAAATACGAGTAATAGACAACAATCGGATGTTTTTCAAACCTTGGGAACAAGGTTCTAAACATTAATTCCAGGGGGCAGATAAAACATATTACAAGTAACAAAACTTTTATAACTTTCGATAAAATGCGTGGATGTTTTATTGTCATTTTCATTTGTTAGAACTTTTTTAAGCCATGTTTTTATGTGTTTTCGATATTTCAATAATTTTTTAATATAATCTTAAAATATGTCGAATACTATAAACTTAAAAAAAGTTACTAAGTTTTATATTGTGTACCGTTCCTAATATTTCTAATCATTTTAATTCATACTTTAAGCTTTATAAAGTTATAATTTGTTAATATTAATATTTGCGCGTATTTCAGGTTCCTGATCATTCATTTTTTAAAGGTTTATAACTTTAAATTAAATTGTGAAGCGCTGAGTAATCATACGACGTTCAATATTCTTTCTTTTAATATGACTAAATAATCCCAATTATAGCAATCTGATACTCATGTCTCAACGTTTTTTCGCTGAATGTGATGAAAACATTTGAAAAAGGTTCGCTTTTGAAATAAATCTACACCAGTTAGTACTTCGATTTCCAGGTAAAGGGAAAAGGCTCATTATCTGCCATATTGGCAGTGAGGATGGATTTGATGTTGACGGTCTGTGGTGCTTTGAGTCTAAGAAAACTGGAGATTACCACGAGGAAATGAATGGCGAATCGTTTGAACAGTGGTTTTAAAAAATTTTACCGAACTTAGAGGAAAACGCAGCAATTGTGTTGGATAATGCGCCTTATCATTCTCGAAGAATGGAGAAGGTCCCAACAACGGCTTCAAGGAAAGTTGATGTTCAAAATTGGCTCCGCTCGAAAAATATCAACTTTGAAGAAGCAATGCTGAAAGTACAATTATTAAGAATTGTCAAGGATCACACGGCGGAATATCAAAAATACGCCATTGACGAAATGGCAGCAAGTCAAAATAAAACTGTGCTCCGTTTACCTCCATACCATTGCGAGCTCAATCCCACTGAGCTCATATGGGCAGAGGTTAAAAATTATATAGCTAAGCACAATACAACTTTTAAATTTTGTGACCTCAAAGGGCTTTTCAAAGAAGCACTAGAATTAATAACAGCGCAAAAATGGGAAGACTGTATTAAGCACGTGAAAGACAAAGTTGAAAAGAGAATGTGGGAACTGGACAATATTTTAGAGGAACAAGTCGAGCCATTCATTATTGACGTTGATGCTTCAGGCAGTAGCGATGATGAAAGCTCATCAAGCTCATCTTTCCAATAAAAGATGTCGTTCATCAAATTCGGTAAGTTATAAGTAATTATAAAGCTACTGTATTTTTTAATTAATTATTGACATTTTTGAAACCATTTTGGCAAAACCTATTCAAGAATCTACTTTCTGACAATGTTCAACCATGCACTTTTTTTACGTTTTGAACGTTTCAATTTGGTTACATATTTACCTAGAAATCAAAAAATATACTAATCAATATTCTAAAAGCAATTTTAAGAGATATACGATTATTTTTAATTTAGGGTAATTTAAACGCCATTTTGAGATTATATTCGACTGTATTTCACCAAACATCAGGCGGCATCCGAAGCTGGAAATCGAAGCAAAAATTTTGAAACCCTTATGTATATTTACATCATTATATATTTCTTACCCCACCCCCACATGATCCTATATCCATCACCAATCGTATACACATCGAATTGTGCTAATTTACTACAAAGTTACGCAAAGCAGCATCTACTATCTAAAATATGTACTGCGTGACTCTTAATACGTCCCTGCCGCATGTTACAGCGTTCGATGATCACGAGGTCTTGTTTATGTCCGGTCTATCTCTTATCTGAATATACTGTAGTAATATTAACTATCATGTCCACAAAACCTTTGAGGATTATACTAAGTTGTTATTTTCTGACTAATTAAATTAACCCGAACCAAAGAATCAACAAATCTGCTTTATTAACTGAAAGGCAATCACAATCCTGTTTTCAGACAGTATTTACTGGTTTGCAATGAAAGAACTTGATATGTTTTATGGTTTCCAGTTGTTTAGGCACGGAGACAGAGCTCCTAAGCTATCAATCCCAAAGATAAAGTACAGTCATGCTTCTTATTGGCCGATGGGACTGGGAGAACTAACGCAGGTAAGGAGCGGAAAGAGTGACGATACTAATTTCATTGACAATAAATGTCAATGTACTATAAAAAGTTTCCAGCTTATGCTGGACGTATGCTTTTTGATATGCTTCCAGTGAGGTTACGTTATTGAATGGCTTTAAAAGAGAGGTTAAACACATTTTATTGGAAGGCTGCCTTTAGGGGAGACCGGGGCTACTTGTCACAATTTTCAGTAATTCTTTTTTTTATTCGATCTGAAGCGTTATACGCACATATTTGGTGCATAACTCCTTTGGAAACACTATGTAAAATCGATAAGGGTGTAAAATATTTCACAATATTAAATTAAGATGTTTCAAAATACAGAAACAAATGTGACGACATGCCCCTTGCTGGGGCTGGATGGCACATTGCTTGGGGTTGGTTATCACGTGTATTTTAGATCATTAATAAATTATGATATCATACTTTTAAACATATTTATTATTACAAAAAATGCTTATTAAACACCAAATCTTCATGAGAAAGAAGTAGAAGAGTTTTTTTACAATTAGTCACTATCGCAGTTATGACATATGTAAAGTCCATCAGTGCACGCATCATGAGACCAACCATTGCACGATGAGCATTTCACCCATTGGCGCGCTGTTAGAAAATGGTCCAAGACAAATCAAGCAAAAACATTCTTCTCCATCAGTTTCATTATCTGAACAGGACTTTTCACATGAAGGTGAAAAAATCTAAGAAACTCCAAGAAATGTGACTCTTTCACCCAACGTGATCGGTTTGCAGAACCTTGTGAGCCAGAAGGAGCCGAATTTAAAAAATGTGGTTTGAAATGCACCCGTGAAAAAATGAAAAAAGGAGGTATGGAATTTCCAACAGCTGATACTGCACTTGCTAAAGTAAGAAGATGAAACTATCGAACCAACCTGTTTGAATCCTCTTCTGGCAACAACGCGGTCGGGTCTTTGGACAGTTGTAATCCCAGTTTCGTCCATGTTCCAGATTTCGTGACGGTCAAATGTTTTCCATAACTGAAGCTAAATTATCAAAATATGCGTTGACGTTCGTTTTATTGAAACTACTGGCTCTTGCTAAACTAGTTGCTTCCGGTTTGTGAATAGACAGTACAGGATGACGATTTAGAAACGCACTAAACCAGTCAGGACTAGCTATTTTATGGAGCTTCCAATTTTCCGGCATTTTCAAGGAATTAGCATTAGCAAATTCATATGCCAGTCCACGTACTTCCTTGGGTGATAATCCAAAATAAATATCAGACGCTTTGAGTACATCTGCCACTAGATGATTTTCAAGTTCAGGCTCAAATACTAAATGATTTTGGATGTAGCCAACTGAAATTGACTCGATCATCAAGTAATTCAGGCTCTGGAATTTTCTTACAGTATCTTGCTACAGTACGGTAATTTACATTGAAGTCAGCTGCCGCTTTGCTTATTGAGGATCCTAATTTCACTAATCTAGCTTCTCTTAAAAGTACGTCAGACGGCGCTTTGCCCTTCTCAGTCTTCCTTTTGAAATTTCGAACCATGCTTATGTAACCTGGAAATATTAAACAAATACATTATATACATATACCTACGTAGAATGATGTGCAAAGCTAATCGTCTAGTGTGGGGGTTGGTTGTCCCATATGAGAAGAGGCCCCCGCTAATTAGAGACAACCTGCCCCACTAGATAATTAATTTTTAAGGTTAGATGGCGTCGCTAAATTAACAAATTCAAAGTCAATACTTACGTTAAGTCGTATTCGGATTATTGAAGAGCAAAATAAATTCAACAGTTCTTTTTATTATCAAATGTAGTCTTGAAAACACAAAATATGTGGCAAACGAAAAATTTACTCAGGTCAGGCGATTTGTTTATTTTTGTGTGTGCGACCTTAATCTACCAACGACAACTTTCGTACTGAATACAAGTGTTCTGCGCGGTCGCAGAAACGATCTTGCGGAGCTGCTGAGATTTAACAATTGTGACAACCAACCCATGTGACAACCAGCCCCGGTCTCCCTTACAATGCTGACGAGTTCCTCGTTCATTTTAAGAACTAATATGCACTTTTTTGTATATTTTTATACTAGTGACTTCCGTACTCTACTGCTAGTGCAGTGTTTCTTTGCATCGGTGCGCGCGGATTCCATCTTCCACAGTATTTGATGAAGTTTGCGCCACCAGTTGCGTATAATGTACCTGTATGCTGCTACTTTATTCCGTATTGTAAACCTTGAAGCACTGGCAGATCTAGAGATGAGGCGCTCTTTAATTGTCTCTATGTTATTGACTCTCAGCAGCGCGGCTTAAGCATTCAAACGCCTTGCCTAATAATACACTAAGTGACATAAATCCGAACACCCAGTTTAAATGGTTTTATTTTAATAAAAGTTGGTGAATGTATTTATCTTACTGTAAATAACAAGTGAAAAAATGTTCAACCTTATCAGTTGGACATTCCGGTTTTTATACTGCTTTTTTTTAATTCACTAACGCTCTAAAAATGAATATTTCAGCCGCAGTAAAGAATCAACGTTGGCGGATTTTGGTTCTTGACATCCTTTACGATCGGTTACGATGCCTAGAGTACGGAGACCTGTACGATTTCGTCAACTTAGTGAGTTTGATAGGGGCCGTATAGTGGGACTTCGGGAAGCTGGACCTTCTTTTCGGGCAATTGCAGTTAGAGTGCAAAGAAGTGTAGACACTGTGGTTAGGTGTTGGCTTCGAGAAGGCCGTACGCAAAGAGCAAGGAGCACTGGACGCCGCCGTAGAACAACAGACCGTGAAGATCGCCGCCTAAGATTATTGGCCTTAAGGGACCGTTTCTCCACTACCAGGTCCATTGCAAATGAATGGTTTGCAGAACACGGAAGACCTATTGGCATGCGAAGTGTTTACCGACGAATGAGAAGTTTTGGCTTGTTTTCATTCCGGCCACACTGGGTCCTCCCTTAAACTCGAGAACACCGACGTAATCGCCTTGAGTGGTGCAGACAATGGTCACTCTGGGATCAGGAATGGAACAGTATTGTCTTTAGTGACGAGTCTCGATTTTGTTTAGGCATGCACGATGGTCGTGCCAGGGTTAGAAGGCGACGTGGCGAAAGGAGGAATCCACAGTTTTTTGTTGAAAGACATGTTCATCACACTGTTGGACTTATGGTTTGGGGTGCTATAGCTTATGGTTCCAGGTCACCTTTAATCTTCATCAGAGGTAACATGAACGCGCAGCGTTATATCCACGAAGTCATAGAACCCCATCTTTTACGGTATCTTGACACCCTGGTAGATCCAACTTTCCAACAAGATAATGCCCGACCACATGTTGCAAGAGTCACAATAGACTTCTTTCAACATAATGATGTCACATTGTTACCATGGCCACCGAGCTCTCCCGACTTATCCCCAATTGAGCACGTGTGGGATATGATGGGTAGGAGATTGCTCAATTTGCAACGTCCTCCTCAGTCTCTAGAAGCACTTCGAGAGGAGTTGGTGGTTGCCTGGAATGAGATACCACAGGAGGACATTGACCACCTGATCAGAAGCATGCCTAGGCGCGTTGGAGAATGCGTAGCACATCAGGGTGCATCCACACATTATTAAAGGTCAAAGGGCTTTAAAGCAGTGCAATCATTTTGAAATTTTACTTATTATGCTTCATTAAGTACTTATAAAAAATTTTATTAAAATAAAACCATTTAAACTGGGTGTTCGGATTTATATGTCACTCAGTATACATACATCTTTTGCCCCATCATAATTCTTTATATCTGAAAGTATTTTTTTATTAAATAATATTCTACGTTTGAAGGGAAAATTTCATAGTTCTTTCATTTTACTTCCTATGTCACTGAACAAGGAAATATTGTCATCGCGGAAAATTTCGAAAATCATATTTTTTGGATGCTGCATTTACTTCACGACAAACGATGTCACTCATGTCTGTCGATCAGTTTAAAAAAATCTTTACATAGGAACGAGTTTACCTGAAGGCCTTGTTACACAAAAATGCTTTTTATCTACTACCGAGCGGGAACTTTAACGTCAGCTACGTATAAATAAACCTACTGTTGAGCACATGCGTATGGGTTAGTTAATGAAGACGCAACTACCAGTGAGAAGAAAGTAAAAAAAATAAATGTTCTACTTGACTGATCTAAATACTTTATTTTAGATAGACATATACGAAATGTTTCTATATCTCGGGCGTATTAAGCGCTTATGTCTCTTGACGTGTTAGAGCCGAAACCGTGACGCATCGCTGGTCCATAAACACCCACTTAACGCCCTAAATACATAAGTATCTGTTACAGATTTAAAATTTTCTCATTTCATTGTGTGTAGCCAACCTAATACTATATTCCCGCGTCCAAAAAATATCCGAGATACAAAGATATACCGTAGAGTATATATATATCGTGGTTATCTATGAGAAATTGCCACAGCTATTCCTCTATATCTATAGAGGGTGTCCGCAAAGTTGCGGTTTTCCTTTTCAGAAACAACTACCCGTGAAATAACAAAGGTAATGTGTAGTGAAACGAGGGCGACCAAGCAAAAAAAAATAAAGCAAGAAGTACTCACTCTCCAGTTGACGAGAAGGGCTAAGTACGTCTCTGCCCGAAAGCATACCGCTCCAACAGAAAATAAATCAGCTGATGCGCTACCGAGCAGACGCAGGTAAACAAGGAAGGCAAAATGTTGCGTAAAAAGTCTAGGTATTGCATCCCGCCCAATCGATTTGGGAGAATAAATGGTCCAATGAGCATACCGTTCACCATGCCAGCCCAAACATTCACCGAAAATGTTTGTTGAAAATGTGCCCGACGGACAGCGTGCGGATTTTCCACTGACCAAACATGAGTGTTGCGAAAGTTATTCACCCCATTACGCGTGAACGTAGATTCGTCTGTCACCAATATGCACTTCAAAAAGTCCGGATTATTGTCATGTTGATGCAACAACCACTCACAAAACCGCACTGTTGCTGGAAAATCGTCAGGTTGAAGGGCTTGTACACGTTGGACGTGAAACGGATACAGCCCCTCTTCACGCAGCGTTTGCCACACGTTAGTTTTTGATACTTGCACTTCTCTAGCCACGTCTCTAGTGCTTGTTGAGGGATTCTCGTCTACGCGATTACCTCTAGACGCGTGACCGTAACCGTCGGTTCAAGGTTGCATACTGACCTGACACACTGACCCCGACACAGTTCTGTCGTCGGGTTGAGCCACTGACCTTGTACCAGTCGGTGCTGTCGCGGCTACAGGACGGTATTCAGATATTTTTGATGTTGCAGAGCCCTTTATCTCGGTTCCCTTAAGACATTGGTGTATATGGTACTAAGAAAAATTGCTTATGTTTTCGAGATCTACACGTCGTGTAAAGGAAAACCCCAACTTTGCGGACACCCTGTATACTATATTTACTTTGAAAAGGTTAGTGTATATAGATCACGCAATATGTGAGGCACTAACCTTTTTAAAGTATATACAGTAAATGGAGCCGCATCTGTGACAAATTCTCCCAGATGACGCTACGGCACCTCACTTAATCTCGTTCATTTTTTTGGACGCAGGAATATCGCATTAGGCTTAAGGTATAACATGTTAATCAATGGAAACACCATATTGTATTAAGTATTTCCAAAATCATACCTACGAAGGTAAATTTTAAAATAAATTGATCATTAGAACCAACGTATTTTTTGAAATGGAAAAAATCGAATAGATAAAGGCGATTGCCACTATGATTATTAATTTTTTGATTCCTATAATGTTATTTAATTTCAGTTTGGTATACAAAGGTTATACAGCCTAGGTCAGTGGTTGCGAAAGCGGTATGACGCACTACTATCTCCGATTTATCACGCAGGCGAAATATATGTTAGATCTACAGATAGAGACAGAGCTCTGATGTCAGCTTACGCGAATTTGGCGGGACTATATCCCCCTAAGGTAAGAACTTAAAGTGGTGTTTGACAGAGGAAAAATAATAAACAAACTGTCACGGAAAGTTAAACATGTGTGGATAACAACAGAACAACACTCTCTGATAACAGTCAAAGTTGACTTGATCTTATTTTAGTAATTTTTAGATGTGATGAAATTGTTTTCATGTTCTTTTAAACGAAGTGGGATACAAAGAGTTTTGACTGTTGAAACTAATTTGGACGACGCATTGTAACAAAATAGTTGGTTCGCTGTGATAATTTTGATACTTGAAGTTGAACTTATCATGGCTTTCGAAATCAATTTCGATGGTTGAAGCTCGTTTGGAATCAGGCCCACGGAGACAAAAAAGTTGCATCGTTAATTGCTTAATCAGAAACAAAGATATATTTCTCAAAAAAAACCAGTGGCGTACATTTTTTGTCAATATCATTCATGAGGCTGTTCGCGAGACGCCACTGGAATGCGTAACTATCTTTCTGTTAGTGCTGACTTAACGTCTTATTGCAGTGATCATACTGACACAAGTCAACCCTGTTTATACCCTTAAGGGTCAATATAAGCACTAGTTGTTACAATGATACCCGGTATACTATTGTATTGTATTGTAACAAAATAGTTGATTTGCTGTGATAATCTTGACACCTGAAACTGAAATTATCATGGCATTCGAAATCAATGTTGATGGTTGAAGCTCGTTTGGAATCAGGCCGCTGGAGTCAAAAAAGTTGCATCGTTAATTGCTTAATCAGAAAAAAAGATATATTTCTCAAAAAAAAACCAGTGGTGTACATTTTTTGTCAATATCATTCATGAGGCTGTTCCCGAGACGCCACTGGAATGCGTAACTATCTTTCTGTTAGTGCTGACTTAACGTCTTATTGCAGTGAACATACTGACACAAGTCAACCCTGTTTGTACCCTTAAGGTTCAATATAAGGGATGTTACTAAAGCACTTGTTGTTACAATGATACCCGGTATACTATTGTATTGTATTGTAACAAAATAGTTGATTTGCTGTGATAATTTTGATACTTGAAGTTGAAATTAACATGGCATTCGAAATCAATTCCGATGGTTGAAGCTCGTTTGGAATCAGGCCGCTGGAGACAAAAAAGTTGTATCGTTGATTGCTTAATCAGAAACAAAGATATATTTCTCAAAAAAAAACCAGTGGTGTACATTTTTTGTCAATATCATTCATGAGGCTGTTCCCGAGACGCCACTGGAATGCGTAACTATCTTTCTGTTAGTACTGACTTAACGTCTTATTGCAGTGAACATACTGACACAAGTCAACCCTGTTTATACCCTTAAGGGTCAATATAAGGGATGTTTCTAAAACACTTGTTGTTACAATGATACCCGGTATACTATTGTATTGTATTGTAACAAAATAGTTGATTTGCTGTGATAATCTTGACACCTGAAGTTGAAATTAACATGGCATTCGAAATCCATTTCGATGGTTGAAGCTCGGTTGGAATCAGGCCCCCGGAGACAAAAAAGTTGCATCGTTGATTGCTTAATCAGAAACAAAGATATATTTCTAAAAAAAAACCAGTGGCGTACATTTTTTGTCAATATCATTTATGAGGCTGTTCCCGAGACGCCACTGGAATGCGTAACTATCTTTCTGTTAGTGCTGAATTAACGTCTTATTGCAGTGAACATACTGACACAAGTCAACCCTGTTTATACCCTTAAGGGTCAATATAAAGGATGTTACTAAAGCACTTGTTGTTACAATGATACCCGGTATACTAGTATTACGAATAGAATAAATGAACATAATAAACAACTTAATGAAACTGAGCTAGTGAGACATAACAACAGTAGTAACATACAAATACGTATTTGTCATTTAAATATACTAAGTGACATATAAATCCGAACACCCAGTTTAAATAGTTTTATTTTAATAAAAGTTGGTGAATGTATTTATCTTACTGTAAATAACAAGTGAAAAAATTTTCAGCCTTATCAGTTGGACATTCCGGTTTTTATACTGCTTTTTTTTTAATTCACTAACGCTCTAAAAATGAATATTTCAGCCGCAGTAAAGAATCAACGTTGACGGATTTTGGTTCTTGACATCCTTTACGATCGGTTACGATGCCTAGAGTACGGAGACCTGTACGATTTCGTCAACTTAGTGAGTTTGATAGGGGCCGTATAGTGGAACTTCGGGAAGCTGGACTTTCTTTTCGGGCAATTGTAGTTAGAGTGCAAAGAAGTGTAGACACTGTGGTTAGGTGTTGTCAGGCATGGCTTCGAGAGTGGTGCAGACAACGGTCACTCTGGGATCAGGAATGGAACAGTATTGTCTTTAGTGACGAGTCTCGATTTTGTTTAGGCATGCACGATGGTCATGCCAGGGTTAGAAGGCGACGTGGTGAAAGGAGGAATCCACAGTTTTTTGTTGAAAGACATATTCATCAAACTGTTGGAGTTATGGTTTGGGGTGCTATAGCTTATGGTTCCAGGTCACCTTTAATCTTTATCAGAGATAACATGAACATGGACTTCTTTCAACATAATGATGTCACATTGTTACCATGGCCACCAAGATCTCCCGACTTATCCCCAATTGAGCACGTGTGGGATATGATGGGTAGGAGATTGCTCAATTTGCAACGTCCTCCTCTGACTCTAGAAGCACTTCGAGAGGAGTTGGTGGTTGCCTGGAATGAGATACCACAGGAGGACATTGACCACCTGATCAGAAGCATGCCTAGGCGCGTTGGAGAATGCGTAGCACATCAGGGTGCATCCACACATTATTAAAGGTCAAACGGCTTTAAAGCAGTGCAATCATTTTGAAATTTTTATCATTTACTTATTATGCTTCATTAAGTACTTATACAAAATTTTATTAAAATAAAACCATTTAAACTGGGTGTTCGGCTTTATATGTCACTTAGTATATAATTCAAGTACCTACTTTCCAGCATTTAAAAAAAATCGACTTATTACGACTTTTACAAAACAATGATTTTTCACAGTAAGCAAAATAGCCTTTTGAAGCTTGCCCGAATACTTTATCAACACCCTGTATTATTATTTCTATAGAGTCCCTCACCTCTACTTGAGCGTGTGAAAGCAGTAGTTTTCCCAGGTTTTTTTCAATAATTAATTTTTATCTGTTGAGTTAATTATTTTCATTTTTTTTTTGCCAAGGGCTTCCAACTTTGGGACAGTGGCGTTGCCTGGCAGCCTATTCCAGTGCATACGGTTCCAAGGGACATAGATGACGTTATCGTGGAGAAAAGAACCTGTCCAAAGTACGATGCCCTCTTGAAAGATACCATCAATTCAGACTATTACATCGAAATCAACGAAAAAAATGCTGATTTATACAAAAATATGTCCGAGTGGACTGGGTTCGAGGTGAAAGATGTTACTGATATCAATTTGATCCATTCTACATTAACGTCTATGAAACATTACAACCTCTCCTACCTACCACAGTGGGAAAAATACGTCGACTGGGATTTGCTGGAGTTCCTCAACGGATTAAAATACAAAAGGTAAAGCTTTTATAATACTGTCTTGAATCTAGGGAACAAAATTGACAATATCTTGGTTTCAACATGGCATGTACGTGCCGATGCTTCCCAGGGCTCGGTTCTGGGACCATTCCTATGCTTTTTCATCAATGATTGATTTCCGGATAATGAGACCCGACGGGTATACAAATGTATACTACGTCAGTGCTAAGGTCCCACACATCGAACCTAATACATACAGGGTGGCGCATCGAAATCGAAACAGACGCATTTTCTGGAAGCTCAGTTTTTTTTTGGAAAAACGCTCAGACCCGTCGATTTTGTTTTCGAGGGGGACACAAGTTTGGCAAAAAATCACGTTAACATGTGCAGCCCCCTAAGCGGGGGTAACACCACCACCAAAATCTTAAAAGGAAAGGGGGGTCGAGTGATACCTTATTTTAAAGGTCTTTCAATTCTCTTTATAATGATGTAAAATACATGAGCTTCAGTTCAGCAGTTTTGAAGATTTATTGATTTAAAGCTTAAAGTAGACTTTAATAGGTACATCAGATTAGTTTGTACTACTTTCAGAAGAAATTTGATTAAAAGAATTTACTTAATAAGTAAATGCTTTTCTTCACTACGCCCATGGTTTGTTTCTCATTTTGTTGTTAAAAATATACTAAGTGACATATAAATCCGAACACCCAGCTTAAATGGTTTTATTTTAATAAAATTTTGTATAAGTACTTAATGAAGCATAATAAGTAAATGATAAAAATTTCAAAATGATTGCACTGCTTTAAAGCCCTTTGACCTTTAATAATGTGTGGATGCACCCTGATGTGCTACGCATTCTCCAACGCGCCTAGGCATGCTTCTGATCAGGTGGTCAATGTCCTCCTGTGGTATCTCATTCCAGGCAACCACCAACTCCTCTCGAAGTGTTTCTAGAGTCTGAGGAGGACGTTGCAAATTGAGCAATCTCCTACCCATCATATCCCACACGTTCAATTGGGGATAAGTCGGGAGATCTTGGTGGCCATGGTAACAATGTGACATCATTATGTTGGAAGAAGTCTATTGTGACTCTTGCAACATGTGGTCGGGCATTATCTTGTTGGAAAGTTGGATCTGCCAGGGTGTCAAGATAGGGTAAAAGATGGGGTTCTAGAACTTCGTGGATATAACGCTGCGCGTTCATGTTACCTCTGATGAAGATTAAAGGTGACCTGGAACCACAAGCTATAGCACCCCAAACCATAACTCCAACAGTGTGATGAAGATGTCTTTCAACAAGAAACTGTGGATTCCTCCTTTCACCACGTCGCCTTCTAACCCTGGCACGACCACCGTGCATGCCTAAACAAAATCGAGACTCATCACTAAAGACAATACTGTTCCATTCCTGATCCCAGAGTGACCGTTGTCTGCACCACGCAAGGCGATTACGTCGGTGTTCTCGAGTTAAAGGGAGGACCCAGCGTGGCCGGTATGAAAACAAGCCAAAACTTCTCATTCGTCGGTAAACACTTCGCATGTCAATAGGTCTTCCGTGTTCTACAAACCATTCATTTGCAATGGACCTGGTAGTGGAGAAACGGTCCCTTAAGGCCAATAATCTTAGGCGGCGATCTTCACGGTCTGTTGTTCTACGGCGGCGTCCATTGCCCCTTGCTCTTTGCGTACGACCTTCTCGAAGCCATGCCTGACAACACCTAACCACAGTGTCTACACTTCTTTGCACTCTAACTGCAATTGCCCGAAAAGAAAGTCCAGCTTCCCGAAATCCCACTATACGGCCCCTATCAAACTCACTAAGTTGACGAAATCGTACAGGTCTCCGTACTCTAGGCATCGTAACCGATCGTAAAGGATGTCAAGAACCAAAATCCGCCAACGTTGATTCTTTACTGCGGCTGAAATATTCATTTTTAGAGCGTTAGTGAATTAAAAAAAAGCAGTATAAAAACCGGAATGTCCAACTGATAAGGCTGAAAATTTTTTCACTTGTTATTTACAGTAAGATAAATACATCCACCAACTTTTATTAAAATAAAACCATTTAAACTGGGTGTTCGGATTTATATGTCACTTAGTATAGTTGTTTTTGTTTGAAAAATTGTTTTTGGCGGATATCAAACTAATCACATTTCAATGGCATACTTGCAATATCTTCAAAATGTTTTAGTGACAATTCAAACATTACGGAGTACTAGTTACTAACAAAATCTCATTGAAATCAGCTCGATAAACGTTTTTGTTAGAATCATTCAATTCAGGAGTTAACCTGCTTGACAACATCCATTTATTTTTTTAGGTATACTACCACCTTATCGATGAAACGTCTGAGGTCGGGGCCTTTCATTGACTACATTTTCAAGCACATGGATAAAGCAATATCACCCGATCAATCTTCGTCTGTTCCTAAGATGTTGATGATCTCAGCACATGGAACAACCTTATCTATTATTCTAAACTCTATGGGAGTTTTCGACGGTCACTTACCAGGCTCAGCTTTCACTGTCTTGTGGGAGTTAAAAAGAACGCAGTGCGGTCGATACTTCGTCAATCTTTATTTAAAATCTGACAGTGATTTGAAAAAACTTGCCGTTCGAGGATGTGAATTTGAATGCAGCTATGAAAACTTCAAGAGTGCTTTGAGCAACATCACACTAGATATAGACAGTTGGATCAAAGAGTGCTATGAATGCTGATGAGATTGAGAAGATGCATTTCGATGTGCTCAAGTTGAAAGATAGTGTGCCGTATTCATAAAACAAAGGATATCGTTGTACTTGCAAATTTTGGAGGAAATCCTCCAGATGGCATTTATAATAATTTGAAGTAAATGCTTATGCTTTTTGAGTATAAGCAGTGACATAAGTAAAAGGATATTCATAATATTCACCTTAGACTTGGCATAGGAAGCGTATCCTAAAAAATTCCGAATGTTGATACATATTTTTTCAACATCTTCTTCAAGGCATCGTCCCTTCTCATTTTTCTTTTTGGAACTTGTGACTTTTGCATCTGCGATGAACTGCAGGTCGTTGCCATTATTTTCTATAGTTCACTTCAGGATGACATGCTTATTAATTTGATAAAAAACTGTATCCAGTAAAAATACGGAACGGTCTGTGTAAGCTCTGGAGTAAAACTGTCTGTGATGCTGAGTGAACGAACTCCCACGTCAACTACAAGGTGGAACAAGTCAGGGCATGTCGCTCAAGATACAAATACCATTCAACCTTTCACTGCTTCTTGGAGGATATCCTCGCGAGTATAAGGTAATCATTATGAATATGAAAACAAGGATATGCTTGTATGGTTTATCTGAAGTCACTTGAAATAGCATAAAAACCTTTGGTCGGCGCGTCCTTTGTAATTTCATGACGTATCATAGGCGTGCGGTTATTTATTTAGAACGATAATAATAATGTTTTTATATCACAATAAATGGATTTTACTATCTTCTTATTTTTTTAATTTGGGATAAAAAATACTTATATTGGGAGTTTAATTTATGTTGACTGAAACTTAAGAAATGGAAAAATTACAGAATTCCAACGTTTGACATAGGCAAATATTTACATAGCAGGTAGGTATATAAAAAGGTATATAAAGACTTACATTATAGATATTTATATATCATCCTCGCCTTCGGAGCTGTCGCTAGAGTCATCTTGTAGAGGAATTACAACGGGATTTACAGGAGGCAAAACACAATATTCATTTTCTTTTTCAATAATATGCCTAGAACACTGCTTCCATAGGTCTGTGGCAGCAATATGAGATACTGCATCTCTTATTGTGGCCAATAGCGATTCACTTAATTGAGGGGTCTGATTATGTTTTCTTACTTTTTTTTTAAAGCAGCCCAGACCAACTCAATCGGGTTAAAATGCAGTAATAGGGAGGTAGACGTAATACTTCATGGCCATTTTGCTGAAGCAGATTGTCAACAACATACCCTTTTTCAAATTTTTGTCTTTTAATAAGATCCAATAATATGGCTTTGGTTGATTTTTGTGGTATTTCCATTCCCTTATCCTTCATAAAATCAATAATGTCTTGTTTTTTTGTGCCTGTATTCGGAATTTTGTTTTTCTGTCGGGAATGGTATGGCGCATTGTCCATAATAATCACTGAATTTGGGGAAATGTTTGGTATCAACTGCTGCTCTATCCACTTTTCAAATAAGTCGGAGGTCATGTCCTCATGATAGTCGGCACATGATTCTTTGATATTTTTGGCAGATAACAGCAAGGCATTAGGTATAAATCCATATAAATCCATCCAGCATGGAGAATAATGATTCGTTTTCCACGGTTGCATGGTGCATTTAAAATGCACTTGTTGCTGTCGTCAACCCAGCCGTACTGCAAAACATCATGAGTATCATACCACGTTTCATCCAGGTAAATCAGATTTCTTTTCTGCTCTCTATAGATTTTAACTTTGTGCAAAAATTCTTGGCGCAATTCAACGATTCGAGACGACTCCATAATCACCATTCTTTTATCTAATTTTTTGTATTGAAAACCACACAGTTTTACAATACAGTGCAGTGAGTCTAAGCATTTGTAATTATAAAAATCTTCAGGATAATCTTTTAATTTATCCCGTATCATTTCCAACGTGGGCAGCAAATTTTCTTTATAAAATCCGTATATTATACGACGAAAACCTGAAAACCCACGTCTATTCTTTTTAATTTTTGCCCTATGCGCTTTCTGTGGAAGGAATGGTTGACTACATCTCCCCTTTTTATAACCCGATAAATGGTAGACCGACTGATTTTTGTCAGGATACAAATTCTGTTTAAAATTTGATTTTGCGAGGAATCTGGATTTTCGTTTTTCAGACAATCATACATATTTAGGATTACTCTTTGGGTCTGTTCCTCTAAATCTTTATGAAAGAATTCTGCCTGCACAGGTTCATCAACCATCTCCTCGTGGCTTGGAGCATTTTCCCAAGGTCTCCAAAGAGCCATATTTAGGACACACAAGAACAATCAACACAACAATTAAATCAACAAGTAAACTGAGTATTCAAAAGTCAAAAACACAAAAACTAATAAAATCTATGAAAAAACACGGACAGACTAAAGAAAACACGTTTATTCACCGCTACACGGCACTGGCTAAACTGTTTCAATTTTCAGTAGCCACCTGCACTTGTTCGGAGCTCTGAAATACACGCTTTCTCATTGGCTATGTCCACGCATAGGCGTGCTTTACTCCACGTGGACCGGTGAAACTGCCTTTGATCTTATACGGGGGATATTTGCTGCGAAATTTGGCGATTTTTGCAGCAACAGAGCGTGTTAAATATAGATATATAAAACGCACCCGGTATTTCATAGTGTTTCAAGTGACTTCAGATAAAGTATACTTCTATCTTTTTCTCCGAAGCGAGACCTTATATACTTTTACCTTATGCTTCCAAGGATATGCTTCTCTTTTATGAATACGGCTCATTATCACAAAAAATTCGACCTCACAGAAGAGGCGAAATTATATTGGAAATTGGAACATAATTAATAAGATTTAGAATCAAAATACAATGTTCTAATCAAAATTCATTATGTTTTTCAACAGACTATTTGCTTTAAACATTCGACTGGATTGAAAATGTTCCATTTTTTTTCATGCTTGAAAAATCTATTTTTTGCAGCGGTAGACCTTCCAGACTATTTACAAATAGTAGGTCAGATAAATAACTTCATAATTAACGACTAGTGGTAATCTAGTAAACAAAAATACCTTTTTCTCCTTGTTTGTTACGTCTATGCGATAATGACTGGCGCGAGAATCATAGTAGTTTTGTCTGAAAACCTCAAGGAAAGATAAAATGAGTTACGATATCTTTGACGTTGCCTTCAGTCTGAGGAAATATTGCATAACGCAGCTGTGCATATTCTCGAAGATGTTCGAAAAGCTAATTTATAACGAAATACCTTTTGATGTAAATATCATAATCATTCTGCAACAGCATGGATTTTTTCCGATATCAATTTGCTTTGTTTTTCTGCCATCGTTTCCGATCCTTTGGACAGAAGGTCAAAGCTATCTATGCCGATTTCAGAAAGGCTTTTAATCGAGTTAATGGTAGCTTGAGTCATTACTCTATCATCGGGAGTGCCTCAGGGTAGCCACCTAAACGGTATCCATCGAAGAAACAAAGTAAAATCAAACATATACACCCGTATTGCACGTGATCAAGAACTTAACCGTAGGAGACGCTACAGGGCCGTATCAAGCTATTGTGACTGATCTATCAAAAAATGTCGTACAAGATATGCTGTATTGCTGTAAATTCTATCAAAAGCATAGTAAATTATCAGGAATATACCACGCCTTTCTAATCATATTTCGACATTAGGAATCAGTGCAAAAAATTCTGTATTCACCATTTCAGCAAAATGTTACTAAAACGCACACGAAAAAAACTTGTGGACCATCTCAATTGAAATTGTTCATATTTTATTATTAGCTTACATATATACCCAATAATATTTACAAATCAACCTTCTATTCACAATGCAGAGCAAATTTTTTTGAGCAAATAGAAACTACAGACGTAGTAGTAGTAGTAGTACAAAAGTTTATTACAGACTCCATAAAGTTTGTTAGTTTGATTGCTATTAAAATTTACATGAGAAATAGGAAGAAGGTAAAAATGGCACTATTATGCTTTGGAACTCCTAAATTAACCTTAATTTTGTGTAATTATAAATTTGGAATTTCCACATTAATAACTAGAAACTTACACTTTGATTGCAGTCTATAATGAACTTAACTGTCTTGCCAAAAAGCCCGTTAAACTGCCAGTCTTAATGGTATCAATCGATTTATATGCTGTATTCCGAGGAGCTTGAATCATCAGAATTGTTGATGTCAATTATAAGGGGTTCAACTTGGGTGTCAATGATATTGTCCATATCCCACATTTTGGCTTCAACCTTCTCTTGGACATGGTCAATACATGTTCTCCATTTTGCTGGCGTAATTCTATCGACAGCAACATCAAACAGTTTTTTAAGGTGAGAAAACTTAAAAGTGCTGTTATTTGACGCCACGTATTGCTTGATGTCGGCCCAAATCAACTCGATAGGATTCAGTTCGCAGTGATAGGAAGGCAGCCTGAGAATCGTTTTATTTTGGTTTTTGGCCATTTTTTCAACAATTTTTAAATCATATTAAATATGTATAAGTATAAATTTTATACTTATGTCGCTTGACTATATTTATCAGCTCAGCTTTGACCATTGTTTGGTCGAAGTCGATCTTCTTTGAGACAAGCCACTGTTGAATGTCTGCCTTTTTGGTGGCCATTGTTGGAATTTTTTCCAATTTTCTGGAGTGGTACGGGGCATTATCCATCACAATAATTGCGTTATCATCAAGTGTCGGCAGAAATTTTTTGAACTAATTTTCAAATGAGTTACCATCCATTTCTTCGTGATAGTCTCCAGTTTTTTTGGATTCAAATGCCCACAATGCTTCAGGAACAAATACATCTACGCTACCTATGTGGCAAATGATCAGGCGTTTTCCCTTGCCTGAAAGTAATTAGTTATTTTACTTCTCAGCGAGCGCACTAAATGACGAAATTAAGCAACTTACTCTTTTTAGGTTAGTGTAGGATAGGGTCTTAGATTAGTTTTTGGGTGAAGGAAATACTCAGAAACTTGGATGAGATAGCAAAACTGAGTTCGGAGCTTCCAAATCATTGATTCGATCAGAAAATGAATTATCTGCATCCAAAAAAGTTCATATACTTCGAAACTTACCTGCAGGATTTTTCAATCCCGTCGAAAGGCCATCTAAAAAAGCCTGCCTTGAGGACCTAACAGATCTGTTTACCCAAACCTTTCCCTGCGTATGCCCCGCGTTCACCCAAGTTTCGTCTAAATAATAAATTTTTCTTCCTTCAGCGCGGAATTGCCTAATTTTTCTAAGGTATTCTCTCCTCCAGATAACAATTTCCTCCTTTTCTATCAATAAACTATTCCTTCCTGTTTTCAAAAATCGAAAGTCTAGTTCTTTCAACAGCTTATGGAACGTAGATCTTTTAAAATTTGGCATCATCATTCACTTGCTTCAATATTTTATCTATTGTAGGTATTTCATTCCTGAAGAAAAAGTGATGTAGTTTTCTTCTAACGGCACTTTTGTCAAAGTCATCTATCTTTTCGATGATTTTTTTTCTCGCTGGATATGTTTTTGGCTCAGATAGTGAGTGATTTTGTCTATATTCCTTCAAGATTTTGTAAACACTTGATAGACCTACTCCAGAAATTTCAGCAACCTTACATACGATATTTTCTATAGCCAATCCAATTCTCTTGCATCTGGTTCTTGTAGAT